AAGATTTCTCATGAGTTGCAGCTCCACTTATACACTTGACTAGTAAAGATAAATTCCAATGGAATCAAGAAGCGGAAGCAGCATTTGAAGCCTTGAAGATATCGTTTGTCTCTGCACCAGTCTTATATCGTGTTGATTTTTCCAAGGCATTTTTTATGGAAACAGATGCATCAGATTTTGCCTTGGGTGCAGTTTTATCACAAATGGGAACAGATGACAAACTTCATCCGATAGCTTTTCATTCAAAAAAATTCTCAGCAGCCAAGATCAATTATGAGATCCACGATAAAGAACTTCTTGCGATCGTGGATTCCTTTCAAGAATGGCGTCATTATCTAGAAGGCGCTTCTAGTCCAGTCACTGTGTATATAGATCACAAGAACCTCGAGTATTTCATATCAGCACGCGTGTTGAATCGTCGTCAAGCTCGTTGGAGTATGTCTTTGTCAAGATTCGAGTTCATTATCACTTATCGGCCAGGAAAACAACAAGGTTTATCCGATGCCCTATCTAGACGTTCTTATTTTGCACCAAAAGAAGGAGATGCAGCTTTTGAGCAAAAAAGAACGGTCCTCTTGAAATCGGAGCAATTTCATCTTCGAGCAATGAAATCAACATTGACTGTTGATTCAACTTTTTTCAAGCAAATCCAGTCCAGTATGTCCTCAGACCCTCTTGTTTATGATATCGAGAATAATTCTTCCAAATCTCATGATCCTTCTAAGTTCGAGTTCAAGAATAATCTATTATATTTTGAAGGACGCCTATATGTTCCAAAAGAAGAAGCACGTTTACGTGTTCTTCAAGCACGTCATGACTTTCTAGCAGCAGGGCACTTTGGATATAATAAGACTTTGGAACTCATATCAAGAGATTTTTGGTGGCCACAAATGTGGAAGTCAGTCAAAGACTTTGTACAATCATGTGATATTTGTTCAAGATCAAAAATTCCTCGTCATCGACCTTACAGACTTTTTCAGCCATTACCTATACTAGAACAACCATGGTCTTCTGTTTCTATGGATTTCATCATAGATCTTCCAAGCTCAAGATCTTATGATTCTATATTTGTGATAGTAGATCGTTTCACTAAGATTGCACATTTTGTGCCATGTACAAAATCTATCACAGGTGAAGAAACAGCTAAGCTTTTCATTGATAATATCTATCGCTATCATGGATTACCTAAAGATATCATATCGGATAGGGGAACTCAATTTGTGTCAAGATTTTGGAGGACCCTTTTCAAGATTTTAAAAGTGGACATAAAGCTATCTTCGGCTTCCCATCCTCAAACTGATGGACAAACAGAGCGCGTAAACTAAGTCTTGGAGCAATATTTAAGGTGTACTATCAACTACCAACAAGATGATTGGACAACCCTTCTGCCATTGGCAGAGTTTGCTTATAATAATACGGTACATTCTTCCACGCAACAAACACCTTTCTTTGCCAATTATGGCTATCATCCACGACTTGATACTTTTGATTTTTCAAAAGTTGATAATCCTACAGCAGAAGATATGGCAAATCGGTTGTCAGAGTTACATGCAATAATGAAGACGCAATTGAAGGAAGCTCAAGAACGACAAAAGATAAACGCAGATCTATATCGTAAGGAGCAACCACAAATCAACGTGGGTGATAAGGTATGGCTACTTCATCGCAATATCAAGACTACTAGACCTTGTGACAAGTTGGACTATCGTAGGCTTGGCCCCTTTTCTGTTTCTGAACAGATCAACCTAGTTGCATATCGGTTATATCTACCGGAGTCAATGAAGATCCATCCTATATTCCACGTGTCTCTTCTTGAACCATATAAGACAGTGGATATACAAGGAAGAAGACAAATGCCACCGCCTGCTATAGAAGTAGATAATAATGAAGAATTTGAGGTGGAAGAGATATTAGACTCAAGGCTGCGCCGAAATAAGCTGGAATATCTTGTTCATTGGCGCGGATATGATATTAGTGAACGCACATGGGAGCCATCCAGGAATCTAGGAAATGCATCAGCTAAAGTCAAAGTTTTTCATCAACGACATCCATCAAAACCAAGATGAAAATCTCTCTTATAAAAGAGACAAGATTGAGGCAAGATAACATTCAATTTCCTATCCTTATTTGTAACTTCTTTGCATTTGTGACGCTAATTAGATGGAGAGCCAACAACCAGCGGATTCAACTCAAGAACCTTCGTTTGCTGACCTGCCGGACGAGACATTACGATTGTCACAACCTTCAAGTCGACGCAATCGAGATGAAGATCTTCAAGAACGACATGTTCTTCCTCGAACAGATGGTGAGATACAATGCGTTTGGTATCACGATTTGGGAAGGGACTCTCGATGTTTGGTGATTTTGCTAGAGGTAGGAACAACTCCTCATGGTGTTCCAAATATTCTATTCGAAGGAAGTTACGAAGGCCTCAACAATCATCAAATAACTGGGTGGTCTTCCCGCCCTGGTATGGGACACTACCGATGGTTGAGAGGCCCTATCAATCATCTTCGAAGAGAACAGAGATCAGAGTATGTGGCGAATACAATTCGTCGCATCATAGATTTCCTCAACATATGATGACCGCTCCTCGTGGAACTCATCTCTAGAAGGGGGGGTAATGTCACGGCCATAATCATGTAAGCTAATAATTACATATAGAAATAGGTAGAAGTAAGTAAAAGTAGATAAAAGTAAGTTAATTCTATAATATTTAATATAGAAGCTTCCTAGAAGCTTCCTAGACGCTGCTTTGACTTCATAGGTGTCTTTAATTGACTTTTTGGATTAGAAACGTGGTCAACAAGTTGGCCATGTGCCACACATGTTGTTAGCTTGAAGATCAAGCTAACTATGTGGCCCACACGTAGAAAAACTTGCCTTGTAAGTCAAGGCATGTGTCCTACAAAGTCAACACATATTGGAGGTCCTATAGAACGTCGCCACGTAGCCCCTAGTTAGATAGTATATATAGAGACAAGAGTGAAGGCTTCTTCACTCTTGTCAACTCCTTTCTTGCTTCTAGTCCAGGTTCAAGAGTCTTTAGTTTCTTGTCTTGTGGCAATAGCCATTCCAGTTTTCTTTTAATATATCTACTTGTTTATATTTTGACTTGTTATATCGAGATAGCCTTTTGGTGTATATTTTTCCTCATCGAGTCTTTGTCCTTGACACTCCATTGTCATAGTAAAAAACATCTTATTTTCTCTAAGTTATGTGAAAAAAATTATGAAAGAATGTATAATTAAATCTCTAATTGATTGATGTCACGTTTTTTGGACTATTCTATTATCAAAACAAAGCATTAGATTTTAAACGTATCAAAAAGTTTAATATCCTAATTCATTTAATAATAATGATAATTGCCTAATTTATTTAGCAATGATGTTAAGTTACATCAATTTCTTATATTAGAGATAGTCAATGGTATGAGGTTTTTCAATTCATTTAGGAATAATGTCAAGCTTGAGTACCCCTACATATTCAAGGTAGTCAAAGATGTGAGGTTGCCAAATTCATTTGGCAATAATTTCAAGCTTGAGCACTTTTTCATATTCAAGGTAGTCAAAGATGTGAGGTTGTCAAATTTATTTGGCAATAATATCAAGCTTGAGCACCAACTTATATCAAAGATAGTCAAAGATGTGAGGTTGCCCAATTCATTTGGTAATGATGTCAAACTTGAGCACCCCTACATATTCAAGGCAGTGAAAGATGTGAAGTTACCCAATTCATTTGGCAATGATGTCAAGCTTGAGTACTGCCACATATTCAAGGTAGTCAAAGATATGAGGTTGTCCAATTCATTTGACAATAATCTCAAGCTTGAGGACTCACTTATATCAAAGATAATAAAAAATATGAAGTTGCTCAATTCATTTGGCAATGATGTCAAGATTGATCACCCACTTATATCAAATTTAGTCAAAGATGTGCAGTTGCCCAATTCATTTGGCAATGATATTAAGCTTGAGCACCCACTTATATTAAAGTTTTTCAAATAGAGAAGACTTCCAGTTGATGTTGGTAATGAACATAATTATTTACAATCTTTCAAATTAAGTTTCTTCAAAGAAGTCATATACTCCAAATTATTTAATAGCATAGTTAAGTTTGAGCATCCTTCTAAGTCAAGTTCCAATAATTTAGCTATTCTAAAAAATAAATTTAGAAATATTTCTATAAAAGAATAATTTCTCAATTGTAAGATATTTAAACTCTGAAATTTTTTCCAAAAATCTATATTATGTAGCATTTGCAATGCTTTGTTTGTTGATTCTTTTGGTAAGTTTTTTTCTTTAGACATATATAATAGAAAATATTTTAAACTAAGAAAATATTTTATCAATACAAAAAATATGCTTAGTATTCTTATAACAATATTGGGTGCAAAATCACCAATATTACAACTTAAAAATTGAGATGATGAAAAAGAATCACTTCTTATTTCACTTATAATGTTATTTATATTTTTGTAAAATAATCCCTCCAACTAAAAATCAACACAATTAAATACATAATTAGATTATAATTTTTGTATTAGTAATATATTTAATGTACATATAAATCTACTTACAATATAAGATTCATATTTATGTAAAATACCTTTTTATTGATATACATGTAAAATATATAGTATAAATAACATAACATATAAATAAAAAACTTCTAATTTTTAGTTGTTTATTCTTTTTTAATACTATTATTAGTTTTATACATACCATTTGAATAATAATTATGTGAAAATATCTTATTTGATAATCCATGAAATTGATCTACATTCAAGTTCCACATTCGTGTGTATTTATACTCCATTTCCTTCTCAACAATGTTTCTACCCATATCTTGTAGCTAATCAAGTATTTGTATAATTCCATCTTTGTCTACTTTTATCAATGATTGGTAAATCAATGTATCTAACATAACTTCTATATCTTGTTTAAATATTCTTTTTTGATTATTATCCCACATTTGCAATGTTCTTTCTTTTAACATGCCTTGTGGACTCACATCACTACAAAAGAAACAACATATGTCCAAAAACATTTTCTTCTTTCTATCTTTCAAATTGTCAAAGCTTACTCTTAGTAACTTCCAAATCTTGTAGTTACTATTATTTTCATCTCGATCCAACTCTCTTCCTCTTTTCAACTTTTATAGAGTTCACTCCCAACATCTTAATCTCTTATTCTCTTTCAAAAATGCTCCTATAACTTTTAGATTTAATAGTAGGCCATTACATACTCTGACAATCTTTTTGCCAACTTCAACTAATTCATTGGATAGATTTTCTTGACCACAAGAATGAGTGATAAAGAACTTCATACGTGTTTCTTCATCAAGTTCTTTAATATTTATTTTACAAGATTTTTTACCACAATGCTCTATTGCTTTTGAATCTTGAGTGGTTGCAACCAATGTGCTACCATTGCTAGCAAATATGTCATCTATAAGTACATCTTCAATTTGGCTTTGATTCTTCACATTGTCAAACACCAAGATAGTTTTGTTCTTTGCTAAGAATGATTTTAACATTTCTTGAGCTTCTTTTAAATCACTAGATTGTGATTTGATTTTGAATTGTTCTAAAATATTGCAAGAAGTTGTGAAGCAATCAACACCACTTTCCATGCACTCAACAAAGCATAAAGCATTATATATGTCTTTTATATCAACCAATATAGCCTTTGTTATTGTGGTCTTGCCTATTCCACCCATTCCAACAAGACACAATACCTTCATTTCATTTATACATTCTTCTTTTATTTGAGATAAATATTATTCTCTACCAAATATATCTTTATCAAGTAAATCAACATACAATTAGAAATTCAACCACATATTAACAAAAGAATATTATTAATAATAATAATCATAATAATACTTATTTTTTATTCTAATCTAGATTTATCAACTAATACTCATGACAAGGCATATAATCCTCACTATAAGTATGTAAGTGTATGTGCCAATACAAAATTTAAGCAATCTAATAAATTCATTACATACTTTCAATAATTTTTTGTACAAGTCTTATCTTTCGTAATTGATAAAGTATTTGTTGCAAATCTTCATTTTGATAGTAGTTTTTCTTTGATACTCCAAAATAAGGTGCATTTGGCACATTCATTCCAACTAAAAAATTATATTTTAATAAGTTTAATCTTTTACAAATACTTGCAAACTTTGGTCGATGCAAAGGATTCAACCTCCAATATTCTTTGATAAGTTCTATGAAGTTATCACAATTTGAAGGTAGCTTTGGTCTTTCACCTTTTTCAATTCTTTCTAATATCCCTTTTAAGTTACAAACATCATGAAATGGATTTTTTTTGAAAGAATCTTAGAACATATTATTACAAATGAGTAAACATGAGCTTCAAAAGGACACATTGCTATTGTTTGAAATCTATTTTTCAGTGTCTCTGGAGCCATATATTTAGGACTATCATAAATATAATTATGTTCTATGGTTTTTGAATTTCTTCCAACTTCCATCTTGGACATTCCAAAGTCAATCACTTTCACAATAGCATGTTGAATAATTTTATTCATAATCTTTGATTCCACAATTTTAACCAAAATATTCTTAAGCTTTAAATCAAGATGTGCAATATACATGTCATGCAAGTAACACATTCATTTTGCAATTTGATGCATGATGTCAATGAAAAAAATATAAGATACTTCTTTAATAAGATACTTCTTTCTCTTCTTCCAACATATTACTCAAATTATTTTGTATCAATTCCATTCTAATATATAAATATTCTTTTTTGTCTTTTATTTTAAAAGATTCAATACTTCAATTAGCACTATCTTTCATTACAAAATAATATGTTATCAGATTTGCATGGCTTACAGTTGATAGAATGTTCACTTCTTTGATGAATAACTTATGAAATGCAGCATCCATTTTTTTAGTTGCACACAAAAGTCCCAACTACTTAGATTTATAAACTTCTCCAAAAGATCCAAGTTTTTCCTTCACACATCCTATGATTTTGAGACTTTTCATATCTATTATAAAATTTAAAGCTTCCAATTCTACAATCTCTATGTAATATAAGTCTTTATACCTTTGTAATAGATACTTTACTAATGCATGATATTCAAAATCTTCTTCTTTATTTATATGAATCAACTGCTTATGTAAAAAATATAATATCATCTTCTACTTCTTGACATGTTGCAACATTAAAAGTAGCAAATATGATGACTTTAAATATGTTAGAGTAATGCTTTAAAAGAAAATTACTTGCTATATGACTATAATATTTTAAATCTAATATTAGTTCTCTAAAATTTTCTTTGTTATTGAATTAGAATATAGCTTCTTCACACCAATTTGGTTTTTTATACTTCTTTACTAAAGAGTAAGATTTATTCAATATAAAAAATAACTGACTTAATAGAAGTCCAAAGTCTAATTTATCATTGGTGTAAGTCATGAGGTGGTCAAAAACCTTTGTAAAATTTTCAATTTTCTTACACAAATTAGTACATTGATTTCTATTCAATATATTTTTTTTCTTCAATAAAACCTTGAATACTCCAATATAGATTTTAGAACCTTCTCAAGTATCTACACAAATATCTTATATTTTTAATATTTTTTCATATTGTTCCATAGTGCTTGAAGACCTTGATATGAAAAGACCATGTAAATAGCTCCAAACCATATTTATATATTTCTTCAATAATTCCAAAAGATATCCCATCTTGATTTTGTAAACTAATAAAATCAATTTTACCTTGTCACCACATGTAAAAAACATGTTAGATGTATTTAGAATTTCAAGAAAAATTTTCCAACTCTTTTATACAAATTTTTCTACAAACCGTACAATTTTTTATCCAAAAAAATGAATCTATACTTCTAAAACAAAACCATCACTTAATTTATGTACATATTTTAATAATCTCATTTCAACCTATGTTAAAAATTACTAATTCTATGTCAAACATCAAAACCTTAAATTATTTCTATTTAAAAAAATCTACCTAAGACTTTTATACAAAAATTAAATAATCTATCAACAAGATGCAAAGTTCAAACATTAAAAATATATATGTAACAAAATACACAAGTCACTTTAGAGAACTTTTGTCATAGAAGATACCTCTATTAAAAGAAACTGTTAAATTGCAATTCAACAATCTACAGCCAAGATAAGGATGATAAGTAAGATTCGTTGAAGTAAAAGAGAAAGAAGAGTAAGTTATCTTGTAGAAGATATTATCTCAGGTAAGTTGCTAATGGTCAAAGGGTTGACTCTTGGTATATAGAAAGGACATCTTATGGATATAAGACGAGGTCAAGGACCAAGAGTTAAAGTCAAGAGGATAAAGTATGAATTAGAAAATATTCAAAGACTAGATAAGAGTAATTAGTGTTTTGTATAGGATATCTTTGTACTTAATAAGATACCAAAGGATCCAAGGACCATAGGATATCGTAGAGGTACGTTAGATATTAAAGGATCCTAAGACCAAAGATCATATGTGTAAAAGTCAATGAGTGGAAGTTGTCTTGTAGGGCAGCAACCAGAACCTATAACTATTGGGTGTTAGAAGTGAGAGATATCTTACTCCATACTCTCTTTGTGTACAACCTTGCTAATGCTATGTGTTGTGACTTCAAAGTTCTATTTCTTCAATAGGTTATGGGCCCATTCACCTTTTGTCGTGAATTTTGAAGTTCTTTGAAGTTGTTTTGTTGTTATAAGGAGTAGATCTTATAGATGTTGCTGATATTAGAGTTTGGTATCTTCTAAATCTCTTTTTGTATCTAGTTGTTGATGTAGTTATACTCTTATTTGTTGTTAAGTGCATTCATGGTCTTGAAGATTGTTATATACTTTAGAATGTTGTTTTAGAATACTAGTGGTGTGTTTCTTTGATGACCTATCTCATTGATATACTAACATTGAACTTTCATTTGCTTAAGTTTCTAATAGATCTTCTTATAGTCAAAAGAGGAGTTATGAGACATTAGAGGTGATAAAAGAGTGGCAAAGCTTGTAAGAGAGGTTTTAATAGTGTGTAAGATTTGTGAGAAGTCTTATAAGTGAAGTTGAGAGTGATCAAAGAGTGAATTCACTATTTTACTCACAAAGAAGGTATTTTGGGATTCTAAGGCAGCAATACCTTCTTATTGATTTTGAGAGTTCTATCTTCTCTTTTCTTGATTTTCTTTGATAAATCCCTTCTTTAGACATGGCTTCAAGTAAGGATGAGGGTTTGAGAGTGATTGAGAAGTTTAGAGGTGATAACTTCTACCATTGAAAGAAGAAAATGAAGCTTTTGTTGACTTCATTGGACCTTTGGAACATTGTTGATGAAAGTGAAGAGCCTCGTAGTGATGATGTTGATGTCAAGGTGAAGAAAGAGTACAAAAAATGTGAAAAGAAGGCTTTTGGTATGATTGCAATAAATCTTGATGATGCTAATTTTTCACATATAATTGCTTGTAATGGACTAGCAGAAGCATGAAAGACTCTTTGTAACATCTATGAGAGTAGAAACCTTCTTAATATTCTATGGATAAGGAAGAAGTCCTTAACGATAAAGATGGAAGAAGGAGATGACATCATGGCTCATGTCAATAAGGTAAAAGTACTTACAAATCAACTAGCAGTTGTTGACATGTCAGTTGATAATAGAGAAATTGTATTGATATTGCTCATGAACCTTTCCGAGTCCTACAACTATCTCATTGTGGCATTGGAGTCTATCAACATGAAGGAGTTTACCATGAATTATGTCACATCAAGACTTACATATGAAGTAACCAAGAGGAAAAAAAAAGGAGCTTCAAAGTAATGATTCGACTCTATTCTCAAGACAAGGCAAAAGTAGCTTTCTACACCAACATAAAAATTCAAAAAAGAACATAAAGAATTATTATATTTGTAGAAAACAAGGTCATTTTCCTAGAAATTGCTATAAGGCCAAGAAAAGAGATAGGAAAAATGCAAATAATGCTATTGATAATTTTGGTGGAGATGATTATGCTTTCATGGTAGATGAAGGAGCCTCTATGGCTGCCATGTCTACATGGATTATAGATTTAGGTACCACTAAGAACATGATACCATACAAGTATTTATTTAAAACTTATGAAGCAATTCTAGTAATAAAAATATGGTTGGAAGATAATGGCATAGTGCAAGCCATTGAAATTGGCTCCATTGTGGTGGAGATTGTGGTGAAGGACCAAATCAAGAGGATCAGATTGAAAGAAGTCTTACATGTGCCAAAGATGAAGAATAACCTTCTTTCGGTGAGTAAACTTGTATCACATGGTTGTAAAGTTCAATTTGACATAGATGGATGTTTTGTGAAGACATTTAGTAGACAACATGTTGCCAAAGGCTTTAGAGATGGCAACTTCTACTTCATCAATTGTAAGAAGGTGAATGGAGTTGAAGTGGCGGCATATGCGAATTTTCTACAAAATAAAGACAAGTTTGGTATTTGGCATCAACAACTTGGTCATTTGAATGCCAAAAGCATGAAAGAGCTCCAATCTATGGTAAGTGGCTTGGATCTTGGTCAATTTAGCTATAATGCTATGACACTTACTTATGAAGGTTGTATCCAAGGTAAACAACAAAGGGCTTTATTTTCAAGTGGAATTGCAATACATATAAGCAAATTATTGGAGATGGTTTATTTTGATATTTATGGACCAATAAAGACACCATCAATTGGAG